AATTAATGCTTGTTCCATTTTAATTGTTCGTTCATCATCAATTTTTTGTTGAATACCATTTGCTACTTGATTTGGTCCATTTAATTGTATTTCACCTTTAATAACATCTAATTCTAATTGTACTTCTTCAAATTTTTCTTTTAATGTTGTATTTTCTAATGTTAGAGTTTCAAGCTAGAAAAAAAAATTACGTTTTAAAAAAAAAGCAAGATAGAAGATAAATACTTTTTCTTCAGCCATTTCAAGATCAAGTGTAAGTGATTCAATTCGTACTTCAGTACCAGCCATTTCATCACGATAAGCAGTAAATTTATCACGTGTTTCTTTTAATTCATGTTCTTGTTGTTGAAATTTATTATTTAATTCTTTAATACGTTCTTGTGTTTCACGTTTATATGTTTGTAACTAAATATAAATATTAATAAATAAAGAAAACTCGTTTAGTGTGAAGGTTTCTTTACTTGATCAAGTTGAAGTTTTGTACGTTCAAATTCTTTAAGTTTTTCAAGATCATCACGACGTTTTTTTATTAATGTTTGAATTTGTTCTTCTTGATCATTAATTTTATTCTTTAGACTTATAATAACTTGTTGAGAATCAGATGATTCTAATATTGGATTATTCGATTTTCTTGGTATATTAGTTGATTCAATTGGAGTTGGTGGAGGCTAAAATATTTTTTTTTCAAGAAAAATCAAATAAAGATCTGAATGTTCAAGATGAAGTAATATTTCAAAGGATACAAAATGTGGCATTTACAGACTATACACATGCAGTGACTCTTTTCTCAATATATAGAGGTGAAAGTCGTCACTCTCTTTGCTGTAAACGATTTTTGAAAATTACAATAGAGTACTGCATGGGAACGACTTCTCGTACATGTATTCGAATCTCTACTACTCGATAGTTTTTAGAAATGAAAGTAGAAGGAAAGGACTATTCCATTTTCTTTTACCATAGAAGTTGTTGTTTTGGGCTGTGATACTGGTGGTTTAATTTCTTCTTTAGGTGGTGATATTCGTTCCGTTGCTACTGCTGTTGGAATATCAGTGGATGATTGAGCTGTTCGAGTAAGACCTTTAACAAAAAAAGAAAAAGATTAAGCATTCAGTGTGATAATAAAAACAAAAACCATCACCATTGATTACATGACATTACTAAGTTCTAATTAATTGATACAAA